TACGCATCACATTTAGTAATATTGACGAATGAGCAGGAACCTACTATGACGATAGCTGCACATGATAAAGCTCAAAGGCAGATAAATAGAGCCATTGACCTTGGGTGTTTCCGCCAGGCGCCCCTAGATGACCTTCTCCGAATCCAAAGTTTAAGCGAGGGCTCTTTGAAGCATGCCGATACGCTTGAATTCAAACTGGATGAGACATGGGGTGAAACCGATGTTGGCTTTTGGGTTCAGCAGCTTCATGATATCGAAATGGGCCTCAAAGCTGCCCGTACATCGTTCCGCATCATGTGTGGCGGTCGAGAGGAAAAGCAATTGTACTCCGAAGACTTGATTCAACAAGGCCTGAATCTATTTAGAAATGTCATAGAGGACATAATCATCCCTACGGCTGAGCTACGGAGCACCGGTCCGACTAGCAACTTATTTCGCCTCCTTACGATACATAAGAAAGCCATTAGTACTCTATTCACGACTTGCCAAAAGGTCTTTTCCCTAATGTCAGACCTAATAGCCAGCATTGACCTCTCCGAAACCGTCGTGCATACTCTTGAGTTCGTGGCATCGCGTCTCATTTTCGTCGAGAACGCGCATACGGAGAAGGATTCGGTCGTCGGTGTCCAAAAGTTTGACACGCTTCGTTTAGTGGCCATGAATGTTTTATCGCAGATATTCCTCATGAATCCCCCCCAGAGGGAAGGCATCTTCAATGAAATTTTGACGTCCCTTGAGAAGCTGCCTATCGGTAAGCAAAGTGCAAGGCAATTCAAGCTTTCAGAAGGAAAAAGTATCCAGCCTGTCTCGGCCCTGATCATGCGGCTAATCCAAGCAAGTGCCGGGAATGTGGATGATCGCAAAGAGAAGCTTCGCGGCCGGATGATGCAGACCATAGCAGAAGATGATGGGGATAGCGACCCCATCTCTTCCGCTGAAGGTATCAATGGCAAGGCTGAGACTACATATACGATCAAGACGGAAGCATCTGCAGCGGTTCAGCACTCGACAGCTATCCAGGAACTTCAGGCTCTCGCAAAACCTCTTACCGATGGCGCTTACCGCAATGCTACGTATGTCGTCAACTTCATTGTGAAACGGGCACTAAAGTCGACCAAGTCCGGAGATACCCCGTATCGAAATTTACTAGATCTATTTATAGAAGACTTTACTACATGTCTAGATTCCCCGGATTGGCCCGCGGCAGAGTTGTTGCTTCGGCTTACGATGTACATTATGTTCCAGCAGATGGATAGCGATAAAAATGCGGCGCCGGCAAGGAACATGGCATTAGAACTCCTTGGCGTTATGGCTGCGGCCGTAACAAAATTACGATCCCACGTCAGGAAGACTGCCTCCAATTTCGAAGGCAGTGACTCGGACGAACTCGGACGATGGCTTGCTGATCTGGCTCTAAATGTCCTGGAGGGTAACAAGTCGATGGAAAGAACAGTCAACTGGCTAGGGCCGTATCGCGTCGTCTTAGAATATCTGCAAGATCGTCTGAGCGACGACCCCTATCTTAAAGGAGCTATATCATATCTGATAACGGATTGGGGATCACAAGTCAGCCTTGGGTACGATTCTGCTGAAGGTGAAGATTCGGAGGAACGAGACCGTGAATTTGGGAGGATTGCATTTCGCCTCCGTAATATGATTGAGGATCCGAAATGGCTCTCTCGGGAGTACAGCTTCAAGTCCGTGGTCTCCAATCACGCAAAGCTCTCACACTCGATCATCTTGCTCAGATCGAGTTTCTGTGCGTCATTCAAAAATATCCTGAACATACTCATGGGATCCATGACTACAGATCAGGCAACCGTGCGCAGCCGTAGTCTCAAAAGTATTAATCACGTTCTTGAAACCGATCCTACTATACTTGACGGCGATAGCGCTTTCATCGAGCTCATTCTCCAATGCTCTAACGATTCTTCACCTCAAGTGCGCGACTCAGCCCTTGGTCTTATAGGAAAGTGTATGAGCATGCGCCCTAGGTTAGAGGAGAGGATGACACCAACGGTAATACAACGATTCCTCGATTCTGGGATTGGCGTGCGGAAGCGAGCAATGAAGCTGGCTAAGGACATCTACTTAGGGAACGACAGCAAGGCAGTTCGGAGCGCTATTGCGAATGGATTGTTACATCGTACGCAAGATCCAGACGAGGGTGTACGAGAGCTTGCCAGACAGATGATAGAAGAAGTTTGGATTTCGCCTTTCTATAAGGAGGACGACTCGGTAGCTTTCAAGCAGTCTCTCACCGAGCATGTCGCCCTCATGGTCCAGACTGTTAAACATGGAAATACCGCAGTCGTTCTCGATAAGCTCTTCCAGACGATACTATCACCCAACTCCAAATTCGTCGAAGCTAATGTCAGAGTTTGTACAAGGCTTGTTGCAAACTTGGTTGACCTTATTAACAATCCCGAATCGGATGATCCATCAATTCCATCTAGTAGAGACGCCTTCCAGGTTCTCATGATATTCGCAAAAGCGGACCCGAAACTGTTTACCTTTGAGCAGATCCGACAATTAGAGCCTCATATCGCTAGTGTTAGTACTAGTGAAGACCTCGCAGTTTCGAGAGCCGTTGTTGTCATATATCGCCGTGTACTACCACAGGTATCCAGCGTGCATTCGAAATTCCTTTCCGATGTTCGCAAGGTTCTTATGCCTGCTACCTCTAAAGTCACCAGAGCACTCCTTGACGACGTTGTAGCTTGTATATGGATCATCAGTGAACTTCTCCAGTCGTCCGAAAACCTCGCACGTCTAGTACTGTCATGCCTTAAAGGTATCCAACTAATAAATAAGAAGGGACCACTTGACAAAACGAAGATCAGACAGTTTGACCGATATTCTCTCATCGTTGGGATGATCGGTAAACATTGCAACCTAGATAGCCACGAGGACCGTTTCAAGTCCGATTCTAATTTGCCAAAGTGGAAAGGCTCCGTGTCGAAACTCATGGTAGACGTTCTCGTCCCTTTTGCAAACCCCTCGCAGCCAGCGGATGTGAGACGACCAGCATTAGATGCTATTGGGCTAATCTGCCAGACCAACCCTAGGAACTATGTTGCCGCTAATGTCTATACAACATTCCAGCAGGCCTTCGACGAGCATATCCCTGTTTTAGAGTCAATGGTTCTCCGATCTTTCAAGGAATTTCTCCTAATAGAGGAACAGCGGTCTGAGCAAGCGGCCTCATCGGCAGCTACCGGCAAGGAGTCCGTTAAGAAAGACTTGAAGGTTATGGGTAGTACTAGCTTTGATGATGTGGCGAGCGCGACCACACAGCGGTTCCTCAAGGACATTACTCGCATTACTCTATCGACCTACGATGACCACGCCTTCCTAGCTATGGAGGTATTGGCAAGTATCAATCGGCAAGGTTTAGTGCACCCGAAGGAGACTGGTGTCACCCTCATTACACTTGAGACTTGCCCAGTGCCTAAAATTTCAGAGCTCGCATACCACGAACACAGAGCGCTTCACGAAAAATACGAGAGCGTGCTTGAAAGGGAGTATGCAAAAGCCATACACTCAGCCTTCCAGTACCAACGTGATGTTGTCAAGGACCCGCGAGGTGCGACCAAGGATTCGTTTATGTCGAAACTCCATCTTCTCACCGAAGTGCTAAAGATCAGCAAATCCAAGAGTCGCGTTAAATTTCTTGAGAAGCTTGTTGGGCAAGTCGATTTTGATCCATCAAAGCTTCCCATAAATCAGGCATTGTCACCGCACGTCGAGTTCTCTCGCTTTATAGTTGAGAACATTGCTTTCTTCGAGTTTGTCACTGTCGGCGAGCTACAAGCTACAATTACTGCCATGGAGAAGATGGTAACCGTAATAGGATCTGGTATTGCCCAAGCTATCGAGTCCGAAATCTTCCAGGTACGCATGGACCAAGCCTCTATCTCCCAGGAACCCGTTAGTGGTGGGGAACAGCCGGCGGCCCCTGCGCCACCTCCTGTTGATCAACAGCGACTTTGCCAGTTAGCAGCTGGCTCGACTATCCTCCTTCTTCTTTGGGAGGTACGTACTCATCTACGCCGATTATACGGGCTGAGCTCCAACCGACGCGAGAATAATAAAGGGAAGAGTGCCCCAAAAGATCTTACTAAGACCCCAATCAAAGCCCAAGGGATTACCGGAGACAAAGTCTGGGATGACCTCTCCAGAATCATGTCTAGATTGGATACGCCGGAACGCATGATAGAGCAGTGCAAGGCGTTTGTGGAACTTCTAAACGTCGACAGCGAAGTCAAAGTTCCGGATGAAGAAGAAGAATATGACCTTGAGGGTGAGTCAATACTTACGGATGCCGAAGGTGACGAAGACGCTGTCGATGTTGATCCCCGCGGTCGAAAGAGAAAGGCAGGAGCCGCTCCTGGAGGACGAAAGAAGCGAATACGGTCCAATTCAAAGCCCAGGCCCCGAGGCCGGCCCAGAAAACAGAGTATGGAGGCAGTGGAGCCAGACTTAGGCGCCAACATGGAATGGATTCCATGAAGATCATCGACCCCGGAGTTTTCCGTGGTATAAACATAATTTTCAATTCTCCATTATACCCCCGTAATTATATTCACGGACAGCCATCCCCGTATACGCAAAGGGATAGAGGGTGGGAAGTGCTGCATTACCGCACAGCATGAAGGGTACATTTATGAGCATGAAAACCGGCGTTTAGAGAGCGAGAAAAGGGGGATATCCGATTCATGGTATCCATAATTTCTGAGGATTCTCTTTTCAAACGTGCTGTTGCCGAGCAAAGGAAAGGGGGGGGGGGGGGGGGGGGGGGGGTTGAAAAAAACCAGGGGGGGCAGTTGGGTTGTGGTTTGTTTTGTTTTAAAAAGATAAAAATGGAGGGGTTACTGTACAAAAAAGTG